GAATCTCTATTACAAGGTATAGTAAATTCACTAAGAACAGATGCTAGAACTGCAGGGTTGGGATGCCCTAGACGTCGATGCCAGAGATCAACAGATGCCATCATGGAGGTTGGAGATGCGATGACAGGAACACCATTGAGAGAGTATAAGTCACCGGAGCTATTGAACCGCGCGATCTCGACCTTGGTATGATAATCCTTCACAGATAAGCCAAAGGGGTCAAATTCGACAGAAACAAGATTATCACATGTGAATTGACGAACAGAGATTAAATTTTTGATAAGGGCAGGAGCAACAAGTACATTACGAAGAAGAAGAGTTTTGGTGGTGGAGGGAAGTTGAGCCTGACCAACATAATAGATGGGTATAGAAGCATCGTCACCGAGGGTGATGGATTTAAAAAGTGGTGAAGTGCAAGAGAAGAGAAACATACTAGATGCAGACATATGACTAGAAGCACCGGAATCGAAAATCCAATCCGTACCTGTGTTGCCTTGGGAGGAAAAAATGTTAATGGCCTGGATGAAGGCGGCTTGGTCCCAGCTTGGCGGTGTAGCAGATGTCGGTGTTGGCAACAGGGCCGGCTGGTACAACGGCGAGGGCAGTAGAGCCGACGACGGTGATGGCAGTAGGGCCAATGATGGGGTGTAGTAGTGGCCGCCGTCGGCGTAGTAGGGAGCGCCATATGATGGAGCAGCATGGTAGGCGTGAGTCGACGGACGAGGCGTGAGGAGTCCTGGGGCACCAGGCCGCACGCCGGGCTGCCAAGCACCGGTGTAAGCCGGAGCGCCGAGGGGAGCCGGAGCGGACCATGGCATGGGCCAAGCTTGGACGATCCCCGTCCAGGGATCATGTGGAGGACGCCAAGGCGTAGCTGCTGGTGGCGCACTTGGGGCCGGAGACGGTGAAGGAGTGGGTGCCGAGCGCGTCGTAGGTGGTCGGTAGATGGGGTTCTTGCCGCGATAATTAGGGCTGGGACGCCAGCCTGGCGGTGGAGCGAGCGCAGTCGAGGAGGAAGGCACCGCTGGTGAAGGGGGCGCCGTGGGTGCCGGCTGCGTGGAACGACGGCGAAGAGCTGTGGGCGAGCGTCCTTGTTGGTTTGAGCACGGTCGGCCCACTGGAGGATGGAGCGCACCTCGGCAAAGGTTGGCTGGGGCCGCATCATGGGTATGAAAGAAGCCTACTTGTTGAATTGTTCGCTGAGCCCGATGAGGAGGATGTTGATAAGCTGCCGGTCTTCAATGGGATCACCAAGTTCACGTAGTTCGTCGGCGATGGATCTGAGGCATTGGCAGTAGACACTGAGGGAGGAGTTGCCTTGCACAGTATTCCTGAGCTCATTGTGGAGTAGATTGGTGCGAGCATTGACGTTGTCTTGGAACAACTGCTGAAGGGCCGCCCAGGGACCGGCGGCAGTGGCGGCTTCCCGGAAGACAAGATTGAAGATCTCGGTGGAGATGCGCATTTAGATCCATTGGATGATACCGAGGTAATCCTTGACCCATTGGGGATCATGAGATTGCGGCACGGCGGTGGCGTCGACGTGGGAGCGAAGATTGTAGCGCCCAGGTGAACTTTGAAGAGGTGGCGCCAATGGTAATAGTTGTGGGAGGTGATATCGAGGGTAATGGGGATACAGGGACTAATATCGGAGATTGTATCGGTGAAGGAGAGCACCGGAGGCATAGGTGGTGGTGGTGGTAGAACTAGGGCAGAGGAGGAGGAAGCCGCGGCGGCGGCGCGGGCGAGGGTAGCGGCCCGGCGCTCAAAGTAGCGGGGTGGCGGCAATGGTGGTTGGGTGGGCGGCGGAGCCATACCCTAGGACCAGAAACCCTAAGATACCATGTAAGATTGAATAGAACTATTGTTTATTGATTATTGCTAGCCGCATACAGAAGTATATATAAGAGATTACAAGCCAACTAGACCTACCACAATACGACTAGGACTAGATAACTTGAGAGCCAAGTAATAGTCTACCCTCGCCTAGGGGGAAACCATGGGGGCATGAAAGGTGCTTTCATCCTCCATGCCACAGATAGAGCACATCGCCGAAATATATTGATGGTGCACCACTCTATTAACCTAGACTACAAGACTATCTGAGGCCGAGGTCTTTTTGAAACTACAGATTTCACATGTGCGTTCTATTACAAAAATCACAATATAAGAGACAATTAATGTCTTTTTCTTCTTAAAAACTGGTTATAAATCTTCTAGATAAAAGCATATGGTGGAAATATTTCTCTTGTTGCTTGTGACAGCATGGCGGGGGTGTCGACCTCTTTGTGAGTGAACCAAGCCTCATACTTTGTAAATACTTGGTTGCGAGCAAATCCGTTAAGTTCCCTCTATAGTGGTATCACAAGACAGAATCTGCTAAGCTTCATTGGTAATGGTATCACAATCCTAGGCCGAAAAGAGAATCACATAAATGGGTGAGAAAATGGCATTTGGATGTTGTACTTGAAAATATATGAAGTCTTAAATTAAGAGTTATTTGGTCACATGAAAAGAAGAGAGGCGAATAAAGTTGCATTTAAATAAAATTTTCATGAGCTTTGGGTTTTCTTCAAATTTTGTAATTCCTATGACACAATCATAAATATTTTTATATAGAAAATCTTTTTTTTTGTCTTCAATTCTCATTGTTTCCCAAGCTCATAGAATTCTCTCGGTGAAAACAGGACAAGCAAGTGCATCAATGGACAATGATCAACAACAAATCAGATTCATAAGTAAAAGCTCCACAAGTTTTTTGGCCACCCTGCCAACCAAATCAAAGCATTTCAGTGTATGAGTATCTGACCAATCAATTCAACTATACTTCACTCAAAAGCGATAAAAGTAAAACACAATGCTTTTCAGACTTAAAAAGAAAAAAGGTTCCATCTCTCACAGTACTACCATGGTCCATTGAAACTGCTTAACAAGATGTGATGCGTAGTTTCTCAAAAAAAGGTGGGATAAGGAAAGGCGAAGCATTTGAAGTTAAGGATCTTGGCCAACTAAAATATTTCCTGGGTATCGAAGTTGCCCGAACAAAAAGGGAATAACCCCATCTCAGTGGAAGTATACCTTAGAGCTCCTAAGTGATAATGGAATGCTTGGATGTAGAGCAGCTCCAACTTCCATTGAACGAAATCACAAATTTGGCAGCATAGCTTGGTGAACCGATTAACAAAGAAAAATATCAACAATTGGTTGGCAGACTTCTGTATTTATGTCACACTAGACCAAATATTACATATGGAGTAATTGTAGTAAGTGTATATATGCATGACCCCAGAAGTGGGCACCTTGCCGCCTACAGAATCCTGAGGTATCTAGAGGGCAATCCTAGTATGGGACTCTGGTTCAAGAGAAATGGCCATTGGAATGTTGACAATTAAAGTGATGCTGATTAGACTAATTGTCTTGATGATATACGATCAACCTCTCGCTAATGTGTGTTTGTTGGTAGAAATTTGGTGTCATGGAGAAGCAAAAAACAACCAGTAGGGTCAAATCAACTGTAGAAGTTCAGTATAGGGCAATGTCGCAAGAGCTGAGTGAGATGTTGTGGGTAAGGAGCCTTCTGCTCAAGTTGAAGGTGCTCAGACAAGATCCTCTAAATGTGTGGTGTGACAACAAATCTGCAGCATGACAGAACAAACATGTGGATATAGGCATATTCTTTATGAAAGAGAAACTAGATGTAACTAGCTATGGACAACAAGTCACCAACTGTCTAACAAAAGGCTTGGGAGCTAAGAAGAGCAATCTTGATTTTCTTTTTGAATTTTTAAGGGGGAAGGGGGGGGGGGCACCCACCTGAATTTCATAAAAGAGGGGTCGACCCAGAGTATATTTTACAGCATACAAGGGGGGCATGCCAGGATTTTTTGCAGCATATAGAACTATAGCTCCTGATCAAGAATCAAGAAACAAGGCCGCTCAGGACAGCTTTCGGAGAACCAGAATATGCAGCCAAACATCGATGTGGGGACACCTGCCTTGCCAGAGCACAACATCGTTGCGACACGCTTTCACAGTGGCAGCTAGAGAGGGCGTGGCATCTCGGAAGACAACAACATTCCGTCGTTTCTAGAGGTGCCAGCAGCAGAGGAGCGCCACTGCATCCGACGAGGCCTCGCCGACAATAGGGGAGGCGTCGAAGAGGTGGCCTTGTCACAAGCAATCTTGCTTGTGACAAGATGAACATGATAGATATCTATCATCCCTCTTGAGGGGCAGTACTATTGAGGGGGAGTTGGGTTGTATCTTCTCTGTGCTTCAGTGTGTGTGCGCGCTTTAGCCAATGTGTGGCCCATGTAACCCAGCAACCTATATATGTGTTGCCCCCCTATAGAAACCCTAACCCCAAAGGAATACAACACCATAGGTCAGTTCTCTATCTCAGCGGCCACCCCTCTCTCCCCTACTTCGGTAGAATTTTATCTTAATCAGTCAAAATAGATCCCATGTATCCTGATGGAGAGTACTGCGGATCAAAGCACATGCCATTTATATATGTAGTAGTGATCTGAAAGATCTTATATTAGTTTACAGATGGAGTACCTTATATATAACAAAAAAGAAGCAGTAAACTTTACCACCAGAGCAACATCATATATACAATTTATACCTGAGCTACCAAAATTAACAGTGGCACCAACCGCAAAAGAAAATTCAAGGGAGCCGACCTAAAATCGTGGCATATATATGACCGGTGGATCGAACTACTACTAAGCTGCTAAACAGAATCATGGGAAACTATTTAGTACAGTTTTCAGAAGGAAGGGAAGACGTTGTTGAATGTTGAGTACATGGAAAAGAATATAAATACAATGTTTGATTTTCAGTCCAGGAAAAATAGCCGAGTAGATCATTTCACGTGCAAATCTAAGCGTTATTGTACATCCAGCTTGGATTAGATATGCAAATTGGTTGGATCCAGCAAGTAAGATTTAGAGCTCTCCTGGTCGACGAAAGTTACAAAATTCTTCCAAGAGTGACAGTTATTGCCCAAATAAACTAGATAAAGCCGCCAGATATCCTGCTAGCTGCAGAAGTGTACAAACACAAGATCACGTATTAGTAGGGTAGAACCATTATCTAACGTTCTGCTAAGCAATTTTGGTGTTTCTCGGTGGATAACACATAAACTAGTTGCAGCATTTCTCTGGAAGAAAACGTGTTTTTGGTTATAATGAATATTACTGTCTACTAATTAAGATGAATTTCCTCTTTATGCTCAACTTATGTACCTGTCCCAGGATACCCTTTCCTGTCCGACCTTCCAATACCAATGCAGCAGTCAATCCTATCACCGCCAATGCGCCGTTAATAGCTTCTGCTTGACGACGTTTCTGCAAAAAAGATAACAATGATGTGGTAAAAAAAACATACAAGTAATAGCATATCAAATGTGTGCTGATTGTGCAATTTAGAGGGGCATACAACAGATGGGTTCTCCAGGAGTAATACAGATCAAGGTAATAAATTACTGTAGAAGCAATCATATATGCTCAAGGAAAGAGGACCAGCGATTATGCAATTGCATACGGGTCCTAAAATTTCCCCCAATAACACGATAAGACACTACATAAATGATAAAAGAAAATCATACATCCAGCACTGAAGCGTTGCAATTTGAAAGATTAATTGGGGTCCATGTGAATGTCATTACAATCCACATTTATCTATTTACCAGGTTAGCTTCCTCCATTTTGTGACACACAGTCACATTTTGGTTGACAGATGAAGTAGACATGAAAATGGCGAATCAAGACAAAACAAAGAACCGCATATAACTAGGGGAAAGCCATGTTTTGATTCAAGTTGTTTTTTCCCGGCAAATGCTGGATTTTATTGACTCAAATTGAAGCATAAAGGAGATACAAACACAATGTGAACCACACCCAACCTCTGCATAACTAGGATGTACACGCAAAGAACCACACAAGCAAAGAGCAAAGTCATACAAGAGTGAAGCTATGCCCAGACGGAGGAAAAAGGAAAGAAAAACTCCAAAGCGATGAAAACAGCGATCGATGAAGTACAGCAACGACCATATCCGCACCAACCATCTCTTGACATCACAAGGACAATGAAAAAGGTTCTCCAGTAACAATGAAACAGATTCAAGTTGCTAAGAAATATTTTTGTTAGTTTGCATCCCCTATAGAAGGATTCCTCTCAGGATTTCGAGAGACATTCGTTTGCATCATTTAACAAATTCTTGATCTGTATAGATTATTGCACAAAACTTCTGTTTGTATGACTAGATAATATGATGGAATACAACTTATGACATGTGGACTGCACTATCCTAGTTTTCTTTTACCAATAACAACTGAAAGAATTTCCCATTTCATCATCGTTTCTATTCGTTTTAGAAAATATATTTATTCCACAATCATAAATATCTATATTCCTTCGGAGGAGAGATTAATTAGTGGAATTACATGACAGAAGTAATGAACCTTCAGCTTATCTCTGGCACGAATTTCTTGCATTTGTTTCACTGCTAAGCGCTTAGCTTCCTGTGGATCAACCATTATCACTTTCTGACCTGAACTTCCTTTGCCTTGTGGTGCCTGGTTCATCTGATGAGTTCAGCACCTCTTAGCTACCAAGCAATAATACCAAGAGTAATACAGCTACAACTATAATAAAAAGAAGCTAATTATTTTTCTCAAGATCCCTGTCAGAGTGTTGCAGAATTTCTAGAGCAAGAAAGCCTCCTGCTTGGGAATTAGGACGGAGGATCATGCTACATTTTATAGAACAGTTGATACCAAAACCAGAATATCATATTCGAACAAATTCAGAAGCATATAATGTTGCACTTAGTTAACAGTGATCATTTCCATTTTCTACTCTATTAATTTACATTGTATAACCTACCAAACTCAGAACACCACTCAAACCCCAAAAATAAATGGCCTAGAAAGAAGAGCATACATCTGCACTAGCAAGAGCCAGGAAGCTTGTCACATGGCTTCTTCCATACAATATATGTCCGGATTGCTTGCAGTGGATGGTGCATCTACGAATACAAAGGTGTGTAACTGACACATCAGCAAATACTATTGATGCTAAATTTAAACACATAAAGAAAATAAGTCATTGGAACACTGATACAGTTAAGTACCTTCTCCACACGCATTCATGTTGAAACATAAAGTCTCACCAAATCAGAACTTTCGGATGGTTAGTGCTTGGCTGAAGCGTTCTTAATAGAGACAAACTGTTACAAAAAGGATGGGCAAGAGGATGTATATTTGGTCTGCCACCCGGCGTGTTTCTAACTTGAATTGCAAACCGAATAGTCCAAGGCATTAATACAACATGCTGTACAATTTATTTCATGGTCAAAAGAGGAAAGTGGCGGCCAGTATATCACTCTACACCTTTTCGGAAAGAAAAGTATATCACTCTACAATATTGATAAGTTATTTTGTTATTACTAAAAATTGTTTTGGGCTTGCAGCTTATCTCGGAGTACGTAGTAGGCAATCGTACCCACTAACATTCTGCAGAATGAACAGCAGTATAAAAAATTCATCCGAAATGCACGCAGAGCACTTGGAACATACTACTACAGAGAAGTATCACAAAACGATTTTCTTGTGGGCTAACCACCGCAACAGCCACAACCGACTGGGAAAACGGACGTCGGCGTCATGAAGCAGCTCACCCCGGCCTCAAGTGAAGCAGGAAGCGGAGATGAACATACTCCGCAATCGGCCATGTGAACCCGAAGCAGAGCAGCGCCCAAGCAGAGCACAGCAAGAGTGAATCGATGTGATGGGAAGAGCATACCCGAACGTGGAGGACGGGGCCGAGCGCACATGCCCGACCGAGAGCAACGGAGAAGCGGAAGCAGACGCCCGGTGGAGCAGCCGGGGAGAGGGAGAGGGAGAGGGAGAGCACGCCATTCTCGCTGCCCGCGACCGCCTCTCCTGCGCTCCTTTTTTATGGACTGCAGCAGCCGTCCAACTCCACCCTCTAGTTTTTCTTCCCTTTTTACTCCTCCATCCTCTTGCGCGTCGTGGTTATCCGAGTCCACATAGGTTTTTCCTCTTTGGGTCTTACGTGGGCTTAGGCCGGCCCATCGCCGAGTCGGCACGAGCCGATTTGCTTCTCCATGTGTGAACGAACTCACTCAACTGGCGCCGCGACTGACACCACCAACGTTAGCTTCTGTGTGTGGCCGTGGAGGGGCGCGCGCCATGACGACCGCCACTGCCATCGTCGCCGGCCACGGCATCGCCTTCCGCCGGAGCCTCCACCTGCCCAACCCGCCAGGGAAGCCCTCCTTCTCCGTCGCGCGGCCCCAGGCGCACTACCGCCTCTTAGTTCCGGCCACGCCGTCGCCGAGGCCGTGCCGGTCCATCTCCTCCGAGAGCCCCACGGCCGCCGCGGCGGACACCGCGGAGGACGAGGAGGAGGAGCCAGCCGAGGGGAACGAGGAGGATGATGTGGACCCGCTGGCGGAGGTGTGCTACCTGGACCCGGACGCGGACGCGGAGGGGATCCGGGAATGGGAGGTGGACTTCTGCTCGCGGCCCATCCTGGACGCCAGGGGCAAGAAGGTGTGGGAGCTGGTGGTGTGCGACGCCACGCTGTCGCTCCAGTTCACCCGCTTCTTCCCCAACACCTCCATCAACAGCGTGACGCTCCGCGACGCGCTCGCCTCCGTGGCCTCCTCCCTCGGCGTGCCGCTCCCGGACCGCGCCCGCTTCTTCCGGTCGCAGATGCAGACCATCATCTCCCGCGCCTGCAACGACCTCGGGGTCAAGGCCGTGCCCAGCCGCCGCTGCGTCTCCCTGCTGCTCTGGCTGGAAGAGCGGTACGAGACCGTCTACAGCCGCCACCCCGGCTTCCAGAAGGGCACCAAGCCGCTGCTCACGCTTGACAACCCCTTCGCCACCAACCTGCCGGACAACCTCTTCGGCGACAAGTGGGCATTCGTGCAGCTCCCCTTCGACGGTCAGTGCCGCCCATATAATATATACGAACACTTCCTCTCTACTACGTACCACATTTAAACATCTCTGCAAAATTGCTGCGTTCTGATTGTGTTTAAGATGATGCTGTTCAGATGTGAGGGAGGAGGTGGAGTTGCTGGAGAGGAGGTACGCATTCGGGGCGGGGCTCGATTTGGACCTCTTGGGGTTTGAGCTCGATGAAACCACGCTAGTCCCTGGGGTTGCCGTGGAATCTTCGCGCGCCAAGCCTCTGGCCGGTAAGTTTGTGTGCTCATACTGTCATACTACTGCTGCTGCTACTACTACTTGCGGAGATAATTGGTTAGATGTAAGCGTGTGCCAAATTCAGTTATACGGTAGCACCTGTTAGGTTCTGATTATAGTTTTTTTGCATGGTTCTGATTATAGTTAGGCAACGAAACTTTGGTCACGTACTGCTGATACATAGGATACATATGTAGTGTCTCTAGTCGTAAGAATTGTAGCTCAGGCAATGTGGGATTGCGTGGTAAATGCTGCTTATTTCCCTCGGAGAATAATTTGATCGTACAATGGATTATTGCATTTGTATGCGGACAAAGGTATTATTGCACACCCAAAATAAGACAAGGAAAGAAAATGGTTTCCAGCCTCTGCAGCATGGGATCAGAATGACGCACACTGCCATACAAGTATACAACTCACTAGTCTATCTTCTTATCCAGTATGTATAATATATATGTGTGTGTGTGTGTGTAGGATTAATATCCTGGAAATACATGGGACATTGGTGCACATGTACCCAAACTGAAAAACAAAATATCAAAATATCAAAAAAATGTGGGGCTATAAGGTCACCAAATTAAGGAATTGGGGTGGGAAGGGAGTAGTTTTAAGAGTCTGATAACATTCAGCAAAATGCTTTGGGCAGACCAGTTATACCAACAAACACAACAAATATTTTTTTTTGAAAGATTTTAAGCATTTAAGCAATGCTTCCATGTTGCGTCAGATGAATATTCTGATGGCGATAGTCAACTGACTGAAGCCCCTGCACAATGTTCCTGTTTCTTTGTTGAGCCTATTCTCTTGTGAGATGCATGTCAATCAGCTCTGAGATCTTTGTTTCTTCAATCCCTGCAGCTTGGATGAATGGGTTAGAGATCTGTTCAATGGAGGTTGACACCGGCAGAGCGAACCTGATCCTGTCAGCCGGGGTTTCTACCAGATACGTCTATGCCGGCTACCAGAAGAGCGCCGCGACGACGCAGGAGGCAGAAGCGTGGGAGGCGGCCAAGAAGGCCTGCGGCGGCCTGCACTTCCTGGCCATCCAAGAGAACCTCAACTCCGATAGTTGCGTGGGTTTCTGGCTCCTGCTGGACCTGCCGCCACCGCCTGTATGATCTGGGTAGCGCGTGTGTCGTCACTTCCATCGAAATCACTGTAGTATGTGTAGTGCCAATCAGATTTTCAATACAAGGTGATTTCATTTTAGCTCGTTGATTACTGCACAGAGGTGTACTTTATGAAAAGAAAGGAGAGGAAAGGTCATACTTTAAGTTTGGTGCCACTTTAGCAAAAAGAAAGAAGAGTTTAGTCCACTTCTCCGTTGGTATATTACGCTAGCTGCGTTGGTAGACTGCAGCTATTCATACGCGATGATGTGAATCTAGGTACCACAGACTGAAGTTTTAGTGTTGCGGGTTTAAGAGCATCTCTATCTGATCCCTCAAAATTTAGTCTCTTATATAGCCCCTCCTCCTTTAACTCCTTATATTTGTTCCGTTAAAGAAAAGCGCTTCCTAGCCAAACTCTCAAACTTTCTATCCTCACATGTAAGCCTCTTCCCCTTCTTCCTTCTTCCTCCTTTCCCGCGGCGAACGATGACTTCTCGTCACTAGATGATATCCATGAGCTAACTAGGGCCTAGGATAGATGCTCCGCAAAAGTAATTTGATACAATCTCACCCTGAGCGACGCAAGTATGCGACAAATAGTCGAGAAAGTAGGGGAAATTCTTCCTCCATGAGCAACAACTTTGCGTTTATTCGCCTGAATGGGTTCTTCCGTCCATCCTTCTCCTGGTGGCGCGATAGTGTGGTCCGGAACAAAACCATTCATTGGAATCACAATGGTGACCGGGTGCACCTTTGCTCGTGACTGGGATGATGGAAGGGGCGCCGCCGTGCCGGAGACGATGGAAAGGACGAAAAATAAAGGAAAAAATATCGTCACAATCTCGTCAGAATTTGGTGGTAGAGGTCGACGGTGCTGCAGGGTGTCCTTGGTGGCATGTGATGGTCGGCGGAGGCAAGAAGGCCGGCACTGGAGTGGATGCGGCCAAGCGGTGGGCAAGAATAGAGGCAAAAAATTTATACTCATGATGGCTGCTGAGGAGTAAATATAAAGGGGCGAGCGGCCGATACTTTTACTCCTCCGAAGGGGATAGGGATCGACTAGATTGGGTTTAACCCCTCAAAACCTATTTCTTATTCCTCTAACGACTTCTAAAGGATCGACTATAGATGTCTAATGCCCAACTAGTAAGGTACATATACACATGCAATCAGTGGCGGAGGCAGGATTCCCTAAAATCTCACGTTGAGGGGCCAGTAGAGGAAGATTAGACTAATTTTCACTGTTCATGGCCATAATACAAGCAAAATAATGCCCATGAGGAGGGCCCTGGCCATCCCCGTCTCCGCCACTGCATGCAATGCATGTAGGAGCTTAGATAACAAAAGTATAAATGAATATCAACATATCATTTAGGAAAGGTAAATATGTAAGTTTGGAGTCACATGTGCATGACATAGATGTTGATTTAATTTATGTAGTTCATCTCACTAAAATCAAATTATAGCCACAAAATATGACTCATGTGAAATATATATGTCCAACACAATTGTCTTTAGGTATCTGATGTTGCACTTTTGAGTAGCTACTATTGCATTTTCAAAGACAAATGGAATTTATGAAGGTGCTGTAGAAAAACTAAAGTGAATGGCAATTCTTTTAGAAGAAAAAAACATGGGGAAACTAAAATATGGAAGTGTCTGGAACAAATGAGAAGTGCATGTGATGTTGCAAATCATTAGTAAAAAGGAGCACTAATTCATGTAGCAAGAAAAATTTAGAATATTAAAGTATGAAAGATTCTGGAACAAAGAAAGAAGAAGTGATTTTCTTTTCAGATTTGTACATTCTGATTAAGCTCAACCATGTAATTTTCTGGATAGTACATGAGTGAAGATGATATCCAACAACCAACAACGTTTGTATTTGTCATCTCCTTAGTGTTAAATGGCTTCGTTCAATGTCCAATTTTTAAAGTTACATATATAACGGTATAGAAAAATTAAGGTCTTACTAATTTCTAATCCATTTCTTGGTTCAAATTTCCAATCAATTAATAATTAAATTTTGTTAGAACGAATTAGGGATTAACTAAATCTCAGTCAGGTCATTGGTAGTTGGATAACGGAGTGGCCCGTCCAGGCGAGGCTTGGACTTTTTTGTTTGCTCACGAAACACACAGATGAGAGGCCTTTTTTTTGCTGGGGAGCGCTACATGTTGGTCGACTGATAATCTGAAAAGATCGACCTCCTCCATCGTCGTTGGATGGAGCTCTGAACAGCCATCCAAGATCCCCGAACAGTCGTCTGATATCTCCAGGCGAGGAGCAGCCTTTGCAACAAAGCTCGTGTTGCGCTTGGCGCTTTGCAACACATGACTTATTGCGGTCCCTGCCAAATCGTTTTTCTTTTTTGGCTTTGAAACAAGGCTTATGTTTCAGAAACATAAACGACGTTGCAATTCATGCATTCCACTCGCTTTCCGCATTGCAATATTTACCATATTTCAGGAACATCATCGACGTTGCAATCCATCAAGCAGCTCCCAAGCCCCACGCATTGTGACATTGATTATGTTTCAGAAACATCATCGGCGTTGCAATCCATCCTAT